CTCTCGAGGCCCCGCCCCGGCGGGCAGAGGCAAAAGTTTGCTCTCTGACTTCGCTGGGACAGAGGCTGAGCGAGCCGGTTAAGGGACACGCGAAGAAAGCCCGGTGTGAGCGACGGGCCAGCAGAGCCCGAAGGAGACCCCAGGCCACAGCGACATCCTGAGCCCGAGGCTGTGGTCCGAGCGGAGGCAGAGGCGCCCTGCGTGCCCCCGAGGATGCCGGCGCCCCGATGCCCTCTGCGGACGGAGGTGAGCCACGGGGCTGTGCCTGGGCGCACGGCTCAGAGCCTGGGCTGGGGACCGAGGGAGCCGTGGGACCCACTTTTGGGACAGAAGTCCGACGGATCCGGGGAGCGCCGGCCCACGTCAGCACCCCTCCCCCAGGCCCAAGGGCAGGACTCCTTTTCGGCTGCTGCTGGGGAGTTGAAAACCACGGATGTCCGAAAACCCCGAATGAACGGAGGTGGCTCTCCCTGGAGCAGCTCCATCAGTCGTCTCCCTTGGACAGTTGGAAAGTTAGGTGCCTCCCGGGACGAGGGCTAGGGGGCGGTGGGGAGAGGAGAGTTGTGGAAAAATCATTCTTTAGGTTTCATTAGCCACAAAATTCCAGTGCTCCGAACATGATTCCAACAAGGCAATCAGAGCGGTCAGGATAGGAGCTGGGAGACAAAGGACGTCCTCACAATGCAGTAAGTGAGGTTCCCATGGAAAGCTGGGCCTCATAACTGAGACCCTGCCTAGGAGGGGCCTTGGACCTGGTAACTGCCCTGTCTCCAAGTGGTGTCTGTCTCCGTCTCCCTTTCTGGCTTTGGGCATTCCCAATGCCTATTTCTTTGTGGAGTTTTATGTCTAGATAGGACAGAGATTTCTTGTTGACGTTTTAAAGAGACACAGTTTGTTCTGAACATGATGCTCAGAAGGTAGCAGCATGGACAGAGGGCTCTTCTGTTTTGTAACTGGTCCCCTCCTGCAGCCAGAGCTCTGAGATCTCCAGAATTGTGGCTAAAATCTGGACATTAGAAGTCTCAGCTGTTGTACACAGTCACAGATGCATAACTTATCTTTACAATATTCTTTTCCTCACAGATGAAAACCTTATAGGCACAATAAGAAAGCTAATGACTAGAGAGTGCAGGGGAGGTGAATGACGGACGGACAAGGATGGCTGCAGCCAGGGCTCATTTTGTGCAGGCGCTGGTGGTGGTGGTGGCGGGTAGATGTGTCATGACTGAGGAGTCACGGAAGTTTCTAAATCTGCACAGTTTCTTCATTGATGCGGAGCTCAATGCCAGGATGCATAATTTTGTTGCCAAAGAAGCCCACATTGTCGTTTTTCCAATCATCAAACCAGCAAACATTTGCATTGGGTCTAAGTCACTCCTAATCCTTGACACCACAGATCTAACCTGCAAAGCCAGCCCTTAGGAGCCTCTCCTTGAGGCACAAAAGGCATGGAGTCAGTTTGCATCATCTTGAAATGCACTTGTCCTTCACACAGTTGTAAATTTTGTTAAAGCACAGAAGTCTTCTAATTTTCTGCCATATTGGGATAGTAGAAATTCCTATTTCCTATGGAAGAAATTTTACCTATTGGCCTAATGAACTAATTTCTCACAACTCGGAGATTTTCCTCTTTCTGTTTTTCTCAAACATCAGAAAAATTCACCAGAAATTATGACATCAGAAAAATTCAACGGAAATCGTGCTGTTCGTTTCCTTGCCTCTTCCATGCTTCCTCAGTACCGACACGATGTATTTTATTACAAAAACAGTGAGAATTTCAGCTTCTCATATTCTGGAGAAACTCAGGGTTGCCCTGTGGTAGAACGCCTTTTGACTGCCAGAGCATGGGACTGCCCTTAATTAAGCAAGCTGTTTCATTTAGCTGGGAGGGTGCTGTGGGTTATCCGAACCTGTGTCTTCACATCTGGCCTCATAATTTCTTTCTTAACGGTGCTAGAGCTATTTCATATTATTCCTTTGCCCTGCATTTTCTATTGAGTGAATTGCATTAAGAGATTTTCTATATGCTTTTGGAGATGTGTTTCTTAAAAAAAAAATATAT